GTTTTTTTTTAAATTGTCTTCATCATGCACGAAATAGTCTTCTTGTGAATTTTAAAATGTGTTATTGCGCAATTGAACAGTTATCATTTTTATTCATTTTTAAATAATTGGGATTATTTTTGTTGTTGGGGAAGTTAGATCCCCAGAACTCACTTAGAAAAGGTTCTTATTTTGGTAATTTTATTCTGAAAATTTGAATTTCCATGTCTTCGCACCAGAGATGCTAAGTTGACCTTCAGCTTATGCTTCTCACTTGGGAAATCCTTGACTGTCACTGGTTAGTAGGCTAATAGTTTCGAGCATATCATTCTGTTGTTGACAAATTTTTTTCGATTGAAATTCAATTAGACTTGACAGAATACACATACACATTCAATTGATGAATCCCATATAGAACGAAACACGCATTCTGGATTCCATTGTTAGCCACATTCCATCTATTCTATAGCATTTATTATTTTTAGGTCACTTTTCAATGCCTTACTGTTTTCTTTTTCTTTATTGCTGTTGTCGATGTTTATTTTTAGAAAAAGTTACTACACCGATAAAACTTGATGAATTGGCTATGTTAGTGGCAAAGTCTTCTAATCATAAATCTACTGATGAAGAAGATGACAATACAGTCAATACAAGTGAGTAGTGAATAGTAGTAACCAGTCATTAATATATATACCTATGCCTTATTATCATTTCACTGTGTTGAATGGTTGCTTTGACTTTTTTTTATAATAAACAATTTACTTGGATTTCACATATAGCCACCCATCGTAACCAACATTTATTTGTTAGGGTTTTTTTAGCGATTGGCTTTCGCCAACTTGCGTCACTTATGGCGTAGGCGCGATATCTGTTTGCTAACCAAAGGACGAGTGTACTGCGCAGCAGTTCCTAGGGTCCTTGGTGAGGGTGGCAGATCAATAGATGAAGTAGTGAAACTCTATCAGTTGAGGTGGTTGGGACACGTTTTGCGTATGCGTAACCACCGACTGCCTCGTCGAGCTATGTTTTGCGATGTAGGAATAGGTTGGAAGAAAGCTAGGGGCGGCCAAACCAAAACATGGCACAAATCCATGAAGTCACTGACAACTGGATTGAGTCATGTTGGTAGGTGTCGACTACCTGGTTGGGGCCCGCAAGATGATAGTAATCGATGGTTAGAGACCCTGAATGACATGTTTCAGGTGCATTCATTCACTGTGTTCTCTCAGATCCTGAACTTTTTAATTCCTCATCACTTTACCTTTTTCTTTGTAAGTTTATTTCACTGGATATTACTTCTTGAATAATATATTCGAACCTTAATCTCTTCGATTACTGCTAATACCTTTACTACCTCTACTACTATGGGATTTGAATTGACAATTCCATCTGTGCGCTGATGTGGTATGGCATCTTGAACTGATGTACGTACGCATGAAGTTCTATGTTGTTGTTGACTTGACTTGAACCAACTTTTATGCCGTAAAGTTAGTTTTATCATTTGGATTGAGAAGTTTGTTATCTAATATTGTCTGACTTGATGTTGAAACATTGTATATAGTGTACAAAAATTAGTTGATGCCGTTTATCAATAAGTGTCGTGTTTATAAATTAACAGTAGTCGAACCTGAAGCTTTAGTAAATAGTACACTATTCATTTTGGTATTATGAACTACAAATCTAGAAAGATTTGCCTCTATAATGTTTTTTTTAATTTATAAACAAATATAACCAATTTATCAATGGTAGTTGGTTAGATGTGCTCGGTAGGAAGCTATTTTGCTGAATGGACATTGGTCTTGATGTTCTTATTGTAGACTTTGAACTGGTCTCATCCAACTTTATGATCGTAAAGATATTATCTATCACTGATGGAATCATATCGATCAAAGTTCCATTGTTTATTCTTTTGTTCATATTTATAATATTTCGATTTACAATGTATTTTTTTTTGTTTAACCGACTGATTCTCACTTGTTCTTTATTTTTCTCGCTTCCTTTCTATCTTTTAAGAACATGAATCTGATGCAAATAAAGTATTGCCTGCCATGGATGATATCTCGATAGTTGACGATTCAACAACTCGTTTATCAACTGTTGTTATATTAGTATTAGTGTTATTATGTTGTTTTCTTGGTCTACTAGCCGGTGTTGCTTGTTTCTCTGTCACATGGATACATCGTAAACGACATGATTTAGAAAGAGAAAAACATCAAATTCATAAAAAAACCTTATTAATTCGTGGTGAAGATGCTTTGAATGTTTATACTACAACTGGTCTACATGGTAATAGTAATGCTGTCAATCCTATCGGAAGTGGTGGAGGTTATACAACAGTTCGACCAAATATGTATCCATTTCTCTTATCATCTACAGTGAAACCAGAGATTGGAGGTAATGCTACTGATTTTGTTTATTTTTCTTCTAATTGAACATTGTGTTGTTGTTGTTGTTTACTTCTTTTGTCTTTATGAAATTGTTAGGATATTCATCCAATATCCTAAGAGAATTATTGGTCTGTTCCTATTGGTTAATTCCTATTGGTCAATTTTATGGTCGTCGAAGGTATCAATGTCACGTGCTCCAATGTTATTTCTTATTGATTGTCTTAACTATCAATGTCACAGACTTCGATACTGTTTCCTACTCGACTCAAATATATAAATACGCATTATCTGTAACATTTTATGACCAGGAACGGGTCCCGGATCCCTAGTCCGGGATCCTGATTCTCTTCTGGACTCAGACCTCGTACTTTCTGGATGCTTGTAGAATACAGGTTCTACTTCATATCAAGTCTTCTTCTTTTACTCAGTATGGGGGTTGGGATAATCGAATTTGAGTAGCATTTTTTGCCGCCGGATCTTCGATCCTCGCTCTCGTTTTTCCTACTAGGTAGATTTGTAATAGTTCAAGCATATCAAGTTGACGTGTTTGCGTGCAGGCATAACAGAAATTGTTGTGGCTTGAAATACTAATCGATATCAGGTGCTGTATTACCCAAATGGCATCGCGATAATCGATTGGTTCACCTGTATCTTCAGTACGATCGATGACATGAATTACAAGCACAGTGCTTGAATGCTTATTGGTCCTTGATTAGCTAGTGTTTTTAGCTACTTGAAAGCTTGACCATAGAGCTTATGGGACAACTGCTTGAGGTCTCTTTTTGCACAAAGTTCTTGTTGCATTTATTAGCTCAGTACTTTCAATGCCTTGCATTTGGCGACGGGGGTTTTTGCAGTAAGTTGAAGTGTCCCCTATTCAGAGACTACCTTCTATAACCTTATTGATTCTATGATATAAATCTTCCCTTTTGTCCCTGTATATCATTATTAAGGTAACCCTGTTTGTACACCGCAAAAATATGCTAGACGTATGTGTAAGCTAAGTAGGCATGCACACGTATACCTTCAACTAACAGCAACCAAGGTATGAGCGAATAATTGTCAAAGTCGAAAGACATATGCATAACTCTAGAAGAATGGATTAACTAATTTGTCCGAAGGTTGGGACAAGCCCTATGGGCTCGACACGTTGAAAATCATTCAAACTAATGATGATAATGTGACTTGATTGATAGAATTTGACTAATATTCTTAAGAGATTGATTAATTGTAACTCATAAGTGTATCTATGCTTATATTTCATTTGTTCTAGTTTCCACTGTTTTACCCAATGGTGGATTACAGTCATATCATCAAATTGTTGTTTCATCCAACACTAGTACAGAATCTCCGAATAGTATTTTAAATGACAAGAATTCCAGTCAACAATATTTACAATCAAATATTGGTAGAATTATTGGACAACAACAACAACAACAATTGAATACAATAGTGAATTGTTTATCAGATGGCGGTGATACGATTGATCCAAATGACGGTGTTACATCTGAAACTGAAGCATTCTGTGATAAAATGAATAAACATGATCATGTTCATGATCGTGATCACAACTACCAGCATCATCATTATCCGATTCGAAAGCAACAACAGTCATCATCATCATCACCATCATCTGTGTTGTCCTCATTGTTATGCCTATCAAAGATAAAGAAACATCGTTCTAGACAAAGTTCAATCAGAATAAATCAGAATAATAGAATAATTTCACAACTTGATCATACACCTAATAATAATATACATGGTAATGTTAATTCTAAAGAAACTGGACATATGATAGCTGCTACTGCTGCTGCAAATACTACTACTCCTCCCACTACTACTACTACTAATACTAATAATAATAATAATAATCATGCAGAATTTTTAAATCCTGTAAATAATTTCTCTGGTATTGCTCAATTAGACAAAAGTCAATCTGGTCATAATTTAGGCTTACGTTCAACAGATCTTTTGAATGCTCATTTACGAGGACAGGTAAATTGTTATTTAAAATAATATATTTGTTGTTTATATTTCATTGTATTGTAGTGAAGGAGAACACAGGTTAGGGCAACCAAATTGTATTTAACGAAAATTACAGAGTTACTCAGTAAAATAGGAAAACCATATCGTAACCGTTAATTTGCAAATCTTCAATCCATCATCAATCCATTGTCTGACATTTCACTATTCATGCGTTTCATACAAATTCCATTGTGTTCCCACTCTTACTTTCTTGATGTTCCCCCATCTTCTGCTGCCAGACATTACGTTTACACTCACGTCATATACTACTTATAAGTAGCGCGCACCACAGTATGACTAATAACATTCATCTTGAAAATTGATATACTTCAAACACTACTACGAGTTCACCCTACTCGGTAAACGGAACAAAGAGCAATGACTCAGTGACACGATAGGCTATTCTAATCCATTTGTCCCAGGCCCTGCTGATTAGATCAGGAAGTGTTGATAAGACGTAGAGAATGTATTCAACAAGCACCCAGAAAATACGAGTTGTTTAAGCAAACAACTCAAGCTTATTTATACAATGATAGAAACGCCGTTGGTGTGATCCACAAAATAGCGTACTAAAATAATCCATCAACGAATGACAGTCAAGGATTTTCCGAGTGGGAAATATAAGCTGAAGGTCAAATAAGCGACTTTAACGCGAAAATATGGAAATTCAAAATTTCAGAATAACATTACAAAATTAGGACCTTTCCCAAGTGGTTTCGGGGGGATCTAACAATGAAAATGTCTCTATATTCTATGATAATGTGACACATATTAGAAGAACGCTTTGATGAACATTTTTTAATATTCTGCATCTTCTATTTTTCCCACTGAAACTATACTTTACTAATAAATAGCCTAGATACCATTAAACTGATTAAAGATTCTTTAGTCTACATTCTGAAACTCCAGTAAAGAAAAGTCATCCACTAGGAATCACTTACACTGTTTATCTCAGTTTGGAACTCCTCAACCATATCCATTGTTTATTTCACTTCAAGTTATATATTGTAATAATATTCATAAATTCGATAAGGCTTTAAACCCCAATGGTAGATTTGTCCTCAAAAGACTAAGAGAAAAGAAAATGCTTATTTACCATGTAACCATTAGGATTTATTTATATATTCTGGCAGATTTTTGAAAATACCTTAAACATAAACGTATATTCCATGTAAACATGTTGATCTTGAAATAAAATTATATTATAGAATTTTAACGAAAACACATCCAGATTTATGAAACATTATTGACGATAATATATTATGATAATATTCTACCAATAATTTCCTTTGATAATTCTCAATTTGACAAAGAATTATTGATTGAAATTCAATTCTATTTTTTTCTTTCGCTGAAAGTGTATACTTTACTGCCAATAATAAATAAAATAGCCTTAGGGACTGGTAAATGAATGATCATGATGAAACAACAGTAAAACCAAATTTTATTCAATCAACCAGTGAAAATAATATCAGTGTGAATTATTTATTGCATAATAACTCAAACGAGATAAGGGTTTCAAAGTTGAGATTAAAGTGGGGGGGGGACTCCAATAGTCAATTATTCAAACATTTCTTTGATTTCTAAATCTTAAGGGTAATAAAAGTTATCTTAGAAATATTACAAATAATGAGATGTAATAGACATTTTCATTTCTTTAAAAAACTAACAAATTCCTCATCTTTGTTGTATGCATTTCTCAATTTTTTCCTTGTGTAATATTCGAGTTTTGGTAGATGCTTGTTTAGCCCAATGATAGTTTATGTTATTAGAGAGCCCGACCACAGTTGTAACCTTGTCGTGGTGGTCGGGCTTGCCTATTGTGATTATATTGGCTGGAAAATATGTTCCTGTAGGTCCTACCATGCCAGGCAATTCGATTGGACAACGATGAGTCTATAAGCAGCTACTCAAGTTCTGAGGGTGAATTCGTACCGCTGATTGTAGAGGGGTGTGACAGCAGTAAGGTGTTTCCCTCGGACAACCGGCATCTGCAGCGATGCTGCCTTCTCACAAGGAAGGAAGGGATCAGAAAAGGTCGACCCTAAAAATGTCACACCTCACCTTACCTCACGGACTTCTGTCTCCGGCGTCAAGGCCTTTTAAAAAGAACGGAGATAACACCTGTTTATCAATTTTAACCAACTTAATAATTAAATACTGTCAAGTTTTATTGATCTACCATTTTGCTTTCATCAAGGATACACAAGTTATCTGTTATCGTGTTTTCAGTTTTGCGCAAAATTTGATTGGTTCATGATTTAGAGAATGCTTTATCTAGTTTACTTCTAATCAAACTGATAACATTTGACATTTTATGCAATTATAAACAGTTGACATGAAACCTACCACCATTATTCCCTATGTGAATAAAATTTGTTGTCATAAATATGCTGTATAATTTAAAGGTCTAAATATATTTTATGCCTGTTATCACTAATCAAAGCTCATGAATATGAGAATATTATAATCTTTGAATGTTCTTATTGAGTTATTTTTAACAACCGTGTATCGATAATGTGTAACTTGAGAGTAAGAATTTCAGCATGAAAAATTGACCACAAATGACATAGTTATTATGAAATAATAGGCTACATTATCTCTAATTTAAAATACTATTGGACTAGTAACACGTTTTGATACATTTTCTTTGCATATTGTTTGAATCAGACAGATGATTACCTTAAAGTTGATACTTGATTTGAATGTAACATAACAGGTTGTCAAAATCAAATACTACTGAATATTGTGTGTTCAAGTAAGTCTTTACAGTTGACATTCTCCCTCAAAGTTCGTAAGCTTTTGACATCTGAATATGGTATCTGGTTGCATATTTTATGTTCGTTTAGGCACTAATTATCTATACTCTGCATGAGATATCTTTCCATGTTTCGGTGTCTTTCTGTTTAATTTAGTAAGTAATTTATACTACTTTATTGTTGTTAGTAACATATTTTTAAAACAACAATGGTTTTATCTGATTGGTTCATAAAGGTTGTTGATTTTTCGCATTTATTTTACATTTGAAACATTAGACATCTGTACAAGCGGCAAATGGATTACTTCAAATTGATTTGTCTCGAGGTCATCCATCAATGTTAATTAATGGTCGACCATTGATGAGAATATCCGCTTCATCTAATCCTTCAGATGTAACTGATAATTCTTGGCTTTTACAAACTGGTTATCGTAATAACAATGCAGTTTGTTGTGCTTCTTCAATTGGTATGAACTTATTAAATTCAGAACCTGGTGTTTATACAACAGTTGGTGGAGCTGAATCAGATGTAGATAGTAATGGAGCAAGTAAGTAGAAATTTTACGAGTATAGATGGAGTGCTGTGTATCACTACTGTTAATATTAGTAACAATCCTTATTAAAAACTCCCTGTTATCAAAGAGGTGGTTATCATGAGTAGCTGTGGTTTGAGAAATAATTGTCCGGTTAATCGATATTTCAAATGTTTGGAATGTTTTGACAGTTTGTTTATAGATCTTAGAATTATTGGTGGAACTAGGCTCAGAATCGTTTGCAATGGCGCAGGTGCATCCATTCTTTGTGTTCTCGGTAATTCTAACCTTCTGAATTCCTCATAATCTCTATCTTTCTGTTTCTAAATTTATCTCGAATCATATCTTCGCTCCCTAATCTTCTCCATTACTGCTATTACTCCTACTATCGCTATCACTCTTGGATTCGAACTTAGAGTTGCGTCTGTGTGCTGATGTGGTATGGCAACCTGAACTGATGTACTTATGTACGAAGTTCTGCGTTCTATCTGTCTGTCTGTTTCTGGTGGAACGATAACTACACTGATGACTTCAAGAGACTCCAACTGTGACCTTTAGAAATTTCATATTCAATTATCCAATCATAATGCAAGTGATGTGAATTATTTGCCAAAGAAAACACAAAACGTCAGAAGATCTATACACATTCTATGCAATTCATAAACTTATTAAGGTTCGTAAAATGTTCATCCTAAATTACATCAAAGTAAATTCCATGTAGAATTTTTACGTATGAATCTTGAGCATTGTGAATTTATAGCCCCTATAAAGAGCGAGAGTATTTTTCTAATCTTATCTACATTGGTCTTACTTTATTAATGTGAACACCTTTTTATATAATACATGTATTGATGAATAATAATGATGACCGGACTGGTCATCATCGCATATTTGAACGCATCTATACTTTATTTTGCCAATGATTTAATTAGACAGTAGATCCCCTTAGTGTGCACATACCATATATGAATGAGTAATTTTTCCATGTCGGGCAGGTTGTAATCCACTGAATAACTTGAGAGATCTCATTCATATCCTCAGTTGTACGCTCAGGGAGTAACTGCCGTTTTTGAGATACAATCCGCATCGGAAGTAGGCATTTCTTGTAAATTCAGTTTGCACACTATGCCATATTCATTATGGAGTTGGACAACAAGTGGTACGTTTAGCAAATTTAAGCGTATTAAGAATTAAAATTAGGCTTTTCATAAGATACAAGTTATTCATCAATAAGTTTTCGTCTTAAATCTGGTTGATTCATCAGTATGGTATAGTTTTAGTGAAGTTTTGTTTAAATGCATAAGCAAAATGGTTGAAGATTTCTTCATATGATTTTTAGAAAACATCTTTCGATAATTATACAATAAATAGTCGTGTTTAACAATTTTTAAAATCACATTTTATGTAATTCTTTGTTTTATAATAGGTACAATGAGTCCAGAGTATGCATCTACAAGTATGTTGCATGATTATCCTATGTTAGCTGCAACACTAGCTCAATTGAATCAACAACGTTTGGCCGCTGCTAGTTTAACACAGCCCAGTTTATATCCTTGTTCTAATCCACTTAACAATGATGGATTATCATCAAATTGCTCTGTTAATTTCAATGTGTTGTCAAATCCTCCATTGAATACGCCGTTTGACAGTAGTAATAATAATATTAATAATCATTCTAGTGCCTATGGTAATCACCATCAAAATCATTTTCTTACATCAGCAAATTCAATTCAACAGCCATTATTATTCACAAATCCTCATTCAATGCATGATATGATGAGGATGATGATGTTGACAAGTGCAACAACAACGGCATTAACAACGACAACATCATCAGTTTCAAAATTATCAAATGGTATACCTAGTTCACATAATGCGCCATTTACTGAAACAAATAATAACAATAATAATCATCATCAATATTACGGCGGCAGTGAAAGTGATATTCTTCAAAATATATTTCAACAGACTACTTATCAAGCACATAATCCACAAATATATGATACGTATAATTTACCAACACCTTCAGCACCAATCTATTATTCTACTACACATCAAATGATTCCATCCACTATGGGACAATATTTCCCATGTAGTAGCAGTAGTAGTATTACTTCAACACAATCTACAACATCTTCATCATCGGGAATCCCATCTCATTCAGTGCTATCGTCGTCGTCAGCATCATCATCATCAATATCATGTACAAAGAATAGTAATAATGCTGCAAATACTAATCCTACTAGCACTACCACTACTGTAAATGGTAATGCTACATTACTTGGAAGAGGAGCTCATATGAACAATGAATATAAAGGTTCGAAACGCCATGATATTGTCGATGTTAAACAATCACATAAACGATCAGGTGAGTTTACATTTTGTAAAGTAGATCTGTATGATGGACACAATAAGTTGACCAGTATGAATCTAATTTTTTTCAGAGAAATAACCAGTGTGGGATTCAATAAGTCTTCATTCATGAGCGTTTAACTCAAATATTATTGTGGCTGATCCACTGTCTTATCGATTGAGATTAACGCTGATTTCCGGAAATTTCTTCATATTCCAGGCTTGAAGTGAAGACAGAGTTATTACAGATTTTAGTGTACACTTGGGAAAGTTTATAATTTAGTAGTACTATTTTAGAAAGTCTTAACTTATACTGTGGAGTTATCAGCTTTTTAAGAAACTGATATCGATTATTAGCATAAATCATTATATGAATCATTATAAAGAAGAACTCCGCCTGTAGACCCTTTGGAGCTACTACTGGTCCCAAACCCGAATAAAGGAGTGTTAGGATTGGGGTTGGCGACCCCATCTCTCAAAAAGCTAACTCGCTAAGAAAACGCTAACAAGAAAAAAATAATCCAAACCATATAAACTCTGCTCTAAGAGTTAGAAAGTTTTCATTTAGAAGAGTTATAAAGTCTCATGATGAAAGCCGAGTTCTTTCGGAAGTCATGAGGCCGATGCCCCTTCTGACAACTAGGACCATTCCACGATGTGGGCAGCCGGGATTTAACATCCGTCCTCATATCGATAAAAGCACACGAGACCAAATCGGTCACAATCAAATCCTTTCTATACCACCTAATTAGAGATCTTGAATGACATGGCTCAAAACTGTTTGCAATGGCGCAGATGTTCTCTCAAATCCAAACCTTCTGAGTTACTCATCACTTTGTCTTTTTCTTTTAAAGTTTAGCTCACTATATTCTACTTCTTAAATAATATCCCCGAACCCTAATCTCTCCGATTACTATTAATACTTTTACTACCTCGACTACTATGGGATTTAAATTGACAATCGGATCTCTGTGTGCTAATGTGGTATGACAAAATGAACTGATGTACTTATGTACGAAGTTCTACATTACTGTTGACTGACTGATTATATAGAACAAATGCTTATTTTAAAAGAGTCATTACTTGCTAACCCTCCACCACCCACTTTTTTTCTAAACATTATTTTCAGATGTGAATAAATTCGATTTCAATGTGAAATCAACACGAACAACAAATACTGGTTTGTCAAAATCTAATTATCAAGTTTCTAATCATAATCCATGGATTAAAGCATCCAATTCACAATGTTATGATGAACTAGAAGAAATACAAAGAGGACAACGACAACAACAACACCAACAACAACCTAATCCGTCCCTGTTACTGCCACCAACACCGTCTAGTCCTCCACCAATTTTACCACAGTCATCAACAAAAACACCATTGAAACATCATTAAACTCATATTGATAGGCTGAAGAGGATAGAATTTCAATTAGCCTTCATTAATCAAAGAGGATTGTTTCAATGAACAGAGAGACAGAGAGTATAATTGTAACTATTCCTTCATGCACACACACATATATATACATATATATACGCTTGTAAATAAAATAAAACTGAACATTCTACATTGATTTTATGCATAATAATTAAAGTATATATAAATTTACACATTCAAATATCATTTATTAATTCATTCAATAGAATGAAATGAAAAACTCTCAATTGCCCAGATAATTCTTACCGGTGGCATGTACACTTATTATTAATAATTGAATTTCTTTTTTGTTTCTTTTTCTTTCAATCTTACAATTTTCCAATTGAAATTTGTCTTTCTGCTAAATTGGTCTGGTTATATTTAGTTAGTATGAAAATTAAATGCTGTCATTGAACTTTGAATCAACGTTGTATACACAGTGGAATATGCAAATAGGTTCTTTTTTTTATTAATGGAACCAATAAGTGAAGTGATATTTTTGATTTGTAGTTGGATTTTTTTTTTTTTGGAATTCATTTCTTCAGCTTCTTATTTTTACTAATAAAAAATATACTACTAACAAAAGTACTAATAATAAGTCACTGAAAGCGTATCGATTATTCTCGTAAACTTGCTTTACTTTCACTCTACACTTCTGGTTTATTTAATTCTTATCCTATATACACTGTTGTGGCAAATTTAAGGTGAGTTCAAATGATTTAACATTTTTTTTCTCTGTAAGGTGAATATATGAAATTTTACAATAAGTAGTACACCATGAAGACACATGAATGTAATGGTTATGATTATTATTATGGTTTTTTATCTAAAAAAAATAAATTTTCAGTTAATATAACTTATAAAAACCAGTTATGAATGTAACACAGCTATAGCAGATATGTATGTGGAAAATTTATTGATCAACATTTGCTGAAAGAAAGTTTACTTACTTACGCCTGTTACCCCAAAAATGGAGCATAGGCCGCCGACTAGTTTTCTCCAACCAACTCTGTCCTGGGCTTCCCTTTCCAGTTCTATCCAATTTGTCTTCATTCTTCTCATGTCTTTCTCTGTTTCTCGGCGTCATGTGTTCCTTGGTCTTCCTCTTTTCCTTTTACCTTGAGGGTTCGAAGTGAGGGCTTGTCTTGTAAGGCAGTTGGATGCTTTCCACAATGTTTTTCCTATCCACTTCCACGACTTCTTCCTGATTTCCTCCTACACTGGAATCTCGTTTGTTTTCTCCCACAGTACGTTGTTGCTGATGGTGTCTGGCCAATGAATCCGAAGTATTTTGCGTAGACAACTGTTACTACACACTTGTATCTTCTGGATGATGGCTTTCGTAGTTCTCCAAGTTTCCGCTCCATACAGTAGAACTGTCTTGACATTTGTATTGAACATTCTGACTTTGGTGTTGATTGATATTTGTTTTGAGTTCCAGATGTTTTTCAGTTGTAGAATTGCAGCCCTTGCTTTGCCGATCTGCGCCCTCACATCTGCATCGGATCCACCTTGATTGTCGATGATGCTGCCTAGATATGTAAAGCTTCTTACGTCCTCCGAGACATCTCCGTGTTGTGTTGTATCGTACAATCTTGCTTTTCCCTTCATGTATGTTGAGACCTGCTGTTGAGTCTGCTGCTACACTGATCATCTTCTTTTGTGTTTGTTGTTGCGTGTGCGATAAAAGAGCCAGATCATCTGTGAAGTCGAGATCGTCCAGCTGCATCCTGACTGTCCACTGTATACCATGCTTCCCTCCAGATGTTGACGTCCTCATAATCCAGCCGACCATCAGGAGAAAGCGAAAGGATGAGAGTAAGCAACCTTGCCTGACACTAGTCTTCACCTTAAACAAGGAGTCTGCCAGCTGTCCCCCGTGCACAGTTTTACAGTTTAATCCATCATAAGAATTCCGTATGATGTTGACTATCTTCTCAGGCACACACTCCGCTTGGAGCCCCTCTGGGGCTACTGCCAGTCCCAAGTTCGGATAAAGGAGGAGGGTTGGTGACCCTATCTCACAAAAATCTAACTCGCCAAAAAATCGCGAACCGGAACAGATAAATAAAGTTTACTAAGATTGAAAACACTAGTTTGAAATAATTTTTCTGTGGAATTAATTATACGATTAGCAAAAGTTTTTTCAATGTTCGATGTTGTTAATGAAACATTGATTCGGTCTTTCTTGTTTGAAATATTATGTTTGATAAAGTGTGATAAACTTCTTTTTTTCTTCAACAGTTTGATATTCAAAATGACTTGACTTGACTTTATTTCTTATAGTTAAGTTAATTTTGTTGTAGTCCTCCGCACATTAGATTATTTTGATGATGTGAGAAATTCGAGTGTGAGATTTAGGTATTATCTAATTGATTCGTAGTATTGTATTGATTTACCAAATATGAAGTTAGTTTTTGATGTTTCAGATTAGTTAAGGACATCGTATACGAGAATAAATTTTTTTAGGTGTTATTTAGCTTCTCATATTATTAATGATAGAATGAGATTAGATGCCAGTGTTTTAAAATTTTCTGCCATCAAGTAAAACGATTCTTCGTGTAAGAGATTTGTGGTGATTGTTGAGCTTTATTTAGGCTTAGTGAAACAATTATTGGAAACCAGGAAGTACTGGACAACTATTTCATCTTACTTGGAAATCTCTCAGCAGTATTCACTGAGGATTTGTCAGAAAAAATTTAGGTCTCTCAACAAACATTTACCCATTATAACCACTGATATTATGTTTAGGATTACAGTTCCAACTTCAATCAATTTGTAGTATAGTGCGAAGACCATGTAATGATACTGGTGACATTTATTTTGTTATCCGCTTGTCCCTGCCAAGGATCCTTGTATATTAGGTTGAAATAGGTGTTCAGTACCTGGTTTTCAGCTGTTGGCTAACGAAGTTTGACCCGTGATAAAAATTATTTTCCTATGGTGGAGCTTCGTTCTCTGAGCTGGATGCTTTTGTTGCAGACTCTTTATTGTTCTTATCAACAACATTATCAGCACGAGCTTCAGGTAGTAGTGAAGCATTCGAATTTCTCCATGTATACCTCTTAGCCTGTCCTGGTAACCTCAGTCTTGATTGGTTGTCATTGACCTTCAATCTGTCTTTGTCTGCCTCTTTATTTTGATTGTATCCCTCCTTGATTTGGTTCTTGATCGTATGATTGTTTGTATTCATGATTTTTCTGATTGGTTGATGTTTGGATCAATGTCGATGTGTTTGTTGATTGTTGATCGACATGAATGCTAAGCTCCTAAAAATTCTCTGGTTGCCTGTGTATTCCCTCTATCCAGTATTTCAACATCTTCCCAGTCGAATATATGTCCACAGTTATCCGCATGTATTGATATAAGGAAAGAAATGTCATGAGATTTGATTGCTAATTCATATTCATGTAGGCGAATCTGTAGAGTATGTCTATTTTGTCCGATGTGATGTTTTTCGCACTGTGAACAGTTTATTTTGTAGATAATATTCAGTTTTCCTTCTTTTGTCTCTTTGTCCTTTGGTCTGCATAGGATTGATTGAAGTTATTTTATTGGTTTATATGCTACATTTATTGTATTAATGGATTCCGGCAATCTTGTTACAATTTCCGACATATTTTTCATACATGTAGACGTGTGAAATTTACATTCCCATCCATAAAAGACTACATGGATTGGGGCTTATCAAATTAGTGAATGTAGAAAGCTTGAACAATTCAATCATAGATCCTGAATATATTCAATCAATCAACAGCAACGTAGAACTTCGTACGTACATGCGTACATCAGTTCAAGTTGCCATACCACATTAGCTCACAGAGATGTACTTGTTAATTGAAATCCCATAGTAGTAGAAGTAGTAAAAGTATTAGCAGTAATCGGAGAGATTAGAGTTCGAAGATATTATTCAAGGATATATATATTAATGTCTTAGCTTATTGAATTGCGTGTTGCATAATTAAACTCGTCTTTGCATTTTTAGTTGCAAAATATTTTAGGTTCTTTTTTTATAACAAATTCTTTATATACTATGTAGATATCAATTCAATTATCAAGTGTTTACTTTCATTTTTTTTCTTTTCTTTTCTTACATTTTAGAATTTCCGTTACATCAAACTTCCGTTTTTTTTTCACCATCATGTAACAACATACACAGATTGAGGAATGATATCGATCGACATATAATGAACTCGAATTCCACTCCATTAAAATGTTTGTTTTTTCTCATTTGATTTAAACTTTTTCAGATGGATGATAACCCAGGGGTTAGCATTTCTGATGAATTACAAAGTCTTCCATATTGTTACTTCTACCTCTTTGAAACTAGTTCACTTATTCTTTTACTCATTATATATATATACAAATATATACATATATGTCAATTAATTCAGTTGTCTTTGTTTCAATGAATTAATTGTACTGTAAATTATTTTTTGTTTGTCAACAAAATTCAACTACAACTTATTCGTTTCAATGATCAATTGTTCAATTGTTCATTTATTGTTCAATATAAACTAGAGATATTTATACTAAATTTTCAGATACATATCCCATTATTATATATACATATACATGCATATATATGTATATGTGCATGTATAATTTGTATACGTCTATGATGTGTACACAATAAAGCCAACGGTAAAGACAGAACAGAACGGAAAGCAACTCTTATTTACTCTTGCTATACGCCTCTTTGAACTATCACAAATTCAATCGCATACATTGAATTGTATTCCATTATTATAATTAGATGGAATAAAATAAATATAATTAACCTTTTTAATTTGAACAAGACTGTTTTTTGCTTTGTTCTTTGCATGTTTATTATTATTATGATTATTTTTTTTATAAAAAAAACAAATAAAAATAAAATTTGAACATTTGTATAATGTACTATTATTGAACTGTTTGTTAAGTGGAAAAAAAGATGGGTTTTTATTCATTGATTTATGAATGTTTAGAGAATTGCCTCAATGTAGCCGATAATTGTATGTTAGATTTTTTCACACGTAAACATTTTAATATTATGTGGTCAAGGTTACTTGGCAGGAAACTGATATGCTCGTCAATTGATATTACTTACTTACTTTACTTACTTTCGCCTGTTACCCCCAATGGAGCATAGGCCGCCCACCAGTTTTCTCCAACCAACTC